AAAACAGTCACTTCATTCGATAGAAATGCTTTCAAATTTTTTCTGACTTCTTGGTGTAATTTGAGTGGGTTCGTATTTCATACGGTGGTGCTTTTTACTGGTATCATAACTCTTAAAACAGCATTACATTCACTGCCATCACTTAGGGTGTTTTCACACCTATGGTTTGTTTACTCTGGTCCGAATCAGTTAATCAGTTTGTAAACTTGTAGCTTTTCCCTGCAGTTTGGTTTGTTTTCACACAGAGAAAAATCCAAGTAAACTCCAAGCAAAGCAAAATGCATGACTACAACCCAGTCCCCTCATTGGCCAGACGTTTCTGTGGATGGAAGCAACAAAAGCAAATACAGGAAGAAAGTGCTGTGTTCTGGACTATCAGAGAGGAAGGAGAATTTAAGCTCATGTCATGGCTAGCTGCTAGCCCGTACAGGCATTAACAGTGCCTTGCCCCATTCAGAATCCAAAGCATTTGTAGTTGGTTCGGATGGGGGTCGGATCACGTTCCCACCATAAACGAACCGCTCTGGAGTTCATTTGGAACTGCAGTGAGACCACCTCCTCTAAAGGGTTTCAGCGCAGTTGCTTTGGTTCGCTGCCAAGTGCTATTACTGTGCTAGCATCTGCACAAACAGAACAGTTCAATTTAAACTGACTAAACACAGAAAATGTGACAACACCCTTAGACAGCACATCACATGAGCCTTAGACATTTTAACAAGGCACGTCATTGTAGCTATAACTGTCTAGAAAATAGCTAATGATGCTATTGGTGTGTTTTCTACTTTACTCTATAATTGAGTTTACACTTAGTGAGCATGCTCCTAGTGACAAGACTCATCCTTTACCTCCGATCTTAACAGTAAAGTCCTCAGCTACCATGCAGTTCCTGGCTGCCAGATCTCGGTGGACAAACTTGTTGGCGTTGAGGTAAGCCATGCCATCAGCAATCTGCCCTGCCATCTGAAGCATCTTCTTCAGAGGAGGGAGAGATAGGCTGGACCACTGTTGCTGGAGACATGAAGGAGAACAAGCGAACATGAATTATCTGACCCACAGGTAATACTCTCTCACTGCACTTAATTACAACATTGCATTACACTGGATAGAGATACAATTAAGTTACTATCATGCAAAAAACCCCTACAGATTAAATCTTTAGCTTTGTTTTTATTCAGTACTCATTTTCTGCGGATCACTATGACGACAATTTACTACCTCTTTAGGTCGCAAGGAGCGCAAGTAGCTTTTTAGATCTCCTCGGGTCATCAGTTCCATGATAACCAGGGTGGGCTGGCCCTGAGAGACCACTCCCAGGAGACGAACCTGCAACAAACATAATGATTCAAACACAGGTAACAAAGGGAACTGATGTAACCATGTGGCCATTTCTTCTTAACGAGTCAGAAAATATGAACTACCCTGATTTCTCCGTAAGATCTGAATTTATGTGAGCACATACCACATGATGACAATTGAACTCCTTCATGACGGAGGCTTCATTGAGGAACTCAATCCGCTCTCTCATGCTGGCCGACTCATTTACAGTCTTAATGGCAACACGCGTCTCTGGTTCGTCTTTGACCACACCTTTGGCTATGCCTTCGTACACCATGCCGAATGACCCTTGGCCAAGCTCCCGGCTCAAGGTGATCTTCTCCCGTGCCACTTCCCACTCATCTGGTACATACACTGAACAGAAAAAGGCATTTCTATGTTAGCAAAAGAAGCGTGATTACTTTCTGATGTGTGCTGCCTATCCACGTCCAGTGTTAGCTATTTAACAAAGCAGACAGAGAGATAGTGATGTAAAGATTCAATCTTTCAAAAACACATTAGCTAGCCTCGCTCTAGTGGAGAGAGTCCAGCTGACAAATTATTAGTTATTACTGCAGTTGTTTTCTGGTCGATTGTGATTGTTGTACAAGTGTAATATATTTTCATGGCTTTAAATTAGTGATAAATTTAGATAGAAACTGGCTGCAATGGCTTACTTTGCTCCCTGGTCCAACATCATCATTATTAATGTGCATAGGTTATAAATGTGATTTAAATTCCTATAGGTGTATGGTGGCCAAAGCTGAGGCAGTCTTATTAATAACCAAGATTTCCATCTCAGCAGTGCTGATCACAGGTACTTATCAAATGTTTTGTTTTTCAACTAAAGGCCACTGGCCACATTCGAACTGAATGCTTAACTTCACTCACTTTCTGCTGCGCTGAAGTACTCTGGGTTCACTGAAGCGTACAGAACTCCATTTCCGAGCCGATCACTGTTCCTGACAAAAACAAAACAAAATGTTTAGAGACACAGAACAGGGAGCGTGCATAAGGGTATAATCATGCACATCAAATTTTTTATTTTACAAAGAATACTAGTAAAATGCAACATTCGCTGTTGACACAAGTGAACTTTTGCTTCAGATGCATTTACACTCCCAGATATACTCGGCATTTGTTAGGCATAACAGTGCCTGGATAGAGCAGGAGGCAGCAATGCACAGCTCTATAGCACTTGATCTTCGTACTAAGAAATGGACAGGTTAACGACTGACTGATTTACAAACTAGAGAAGTTGTTGCAGTGCACGTGTGAAAACAAGTATTGTAGTATTTCAATTAGGAAAACCTACTGTGGCTGGCTCAGAAAGAAGAAAAAAAGATTAATAGGCCCTAAAGTAAAATCACAGTATGACAGGTGTTGCTAATTTCTTCTGGAGACTCATTACTTCATATTACTTCAGGTTGTTTTGAGTTCAAATCATGCAAATTTATGATCTTCAGTTCTCTTCAGGATAATTTTGGTATTTCAACATAAACACTAAATATTACAACCCCACATACAACAGGGTGCCAATCACGTAACAGATGGAATTCTAGCTTTATTTGCCACTTAGTTTTATGGACTACAATTGGCAAAAGCATTTTTGCTTTGGTTAGTGTGTTGGTTTAGTGACTGTGGATCACAGTGTGACCACACCACCCATTAGTACGTTGTTTAAGTGCTTATTTTGGGGAAGAAAAAGGAAGAAAAGTACATGCCCATATGCCTTTCATTTTGTTTTTTTTCCTAATACAGGGTCGCGTTTCTTTCGGGAAAAGTATGGCATTCTCTTTCTCAGGATAGATCTTTCGTAGCTGATGAAACACTTGTTGTGCACAAACCTTTTCCTGTTGAGAACAACCATCACTCCAATCAGAAGGCAGATGAAGATGACGATGGAGATGGGAACGAAGATCATGGCGTAGAAGATATTTTCATATCCTGCTGGGTTGAACAGTTTGATTAATATCATTGGTAGTTTTGACGTCATTCAGTTGTTAGAAAACAAAAAGGCACAACATTTTGTTTTAAAAAATGGTGCAATCAACTCTAATGATGCGTGACCGCATGCGTCTTACTTACGTTCAGCCACGTACAGATCCACAGTTTGTGTCCAGGAGCCATTGCCAGCCAGAGACGTGGCTCTCACTCTGACTGAGTAGTTTCCTGGACTGAGGTTGGACAGCCGAACGCCACGCTGGGCCCGATACATTTGACCAGATACACATTCATGCTTCTCAGTCTGACACACGCACACGCACACACACAGAGAAAAGAGAGCTTATTATGGAGTAAGTTTTACTAAATCCAAATCAAACATCCAAGGGCCTGCTGTTTTTAATTTGTACTGTGCAATAAATAGTAAGGACAGGGTTTAGGGTGCCAGACCCATTCTGCCTCAAGATGAATAAATAATAAGTCTCATGTCTGGTCAGTGGCATATTTGATTGGTTAGCATGTACTTCTGAGACCCAGCGTTGCCACTGTTTTTATGGCGTTTCTAAAACTTAACTCCTGTTTGTTGGTTCAATCTGTTCTGCATTTAAAATGAGCACATTTTAACATGAGTACACTTCTGCATCACATTCTGTGTGTCAGAACTGACTTCCCAACATTTTCACAGCATTAGGTTAAACTGAAATTCTGTGTTGTGCAGTGAAGACTAAAGGAATAGTGATCATTTGTTTTTCATTAAAGGGAAAATGAGAGATTATGGCGTTGACTTTGATACTTGCAAATGTGAAATGGCTCTAGCTAAATGACTGGCAGACAGTCAGACTGGGTAACATAAAAATCTCTTCTTTAAAGCTCATTTTTATAGACTTGCTTTGATGTCACATCCCTTTTTTGTTTTTCTTTTGCTATTAGCATCTGTTCTTTTTGCTTCAATGTACTTTGTGAACTTCCTGCCAGTCTTAAAAGTTATCAGTATTATAAGTATTACTTCAGATTAATCACTTCATACAGAGGAGAAGATGATCTACGAGCAAAAGGAATTTTGAATAAACTACTGAATTCACTGGAAACAAAGGCAGTTTGTCCTACCTCAGCACCCAGTTTAAACTTGATCTCATACATGAGGATAAGTCCGTTGGGACGAGGCGGCGTGGGCCAACGCAGAAACACCCAGTCCTCGTGGCCTTCCCAGGTCACTGGACCCGGGATGTCATCGGCTTTTTCTGGAAAAATCACAGCCAGAGTTTAATTACAATGGGTATCAAAGCAATCACAGCTTGGTCATGTGTATCCCAGTTGCCTGTAATGTTTCAAAACAAATTGCTGACCTGCAGGCTTGGTTCTGGAGAAGACGAACTCCGCTGCGCTGCAACGTACGACCTGTCGATTGCACGCGTGAACATCGATGCGGTAAACCGTAAAAGGCTGCAAGCCAGAGATCTGCAGCTCACGTTCTGTCACTGATTGCTCAATGAATTCAAATTCTTGGTCTGCCGGATCCTGCTCGGGGGTGCTGCTGTTGCCAGCGGCTTGAAGAGGAGGGGCAGTGCTACTGTTGCCGTGCAGGTGGTTGCGGCGGGAGTGAGTAGAGTTGGCGATGCCAAACAGATCTCTGCGGCGACGATCTGCTGGCCTGAAAAGTAGAGTCAGAGGAGAAATTCTAAGTGTGAAACAGGTGCATATTAAGTGACATTAAGCCCAACCTGAGTGCAACAAGCCAATTTTTCATACTTTGGAGCAGAATCTGAAACACTGCGGTAAACCACAAGATGCTGAAACCTGTCTGTCTCCTTTGTTGTTTACTTCTTAGCTCTTTAGGTTTGTGCTGATTCCAGAGTTACTGGAATACTTTGCTCAAACTTGACGTTTTAAGTGATCTGTTTTGTTTTTGTTGCCACTTGGCTTTTGGTTCAGCAGCTCGGATGAAGCATGGTAGGTGTGAATGTGTAAGGTGTAAACAGAATTACTGAACAGCTCAGTTAATTTTCTAGTTACTAAACTCTTACAGGCAAAGCACACAGTATGTGCCGAAATGTGATATATCAGACCCACTAACACAGCTGAGCAACAAGAGATTACCAAGTAGTTTTCCGTATGTGCCTTTATTTCATAATATTTCATTGGATGGAATACCAGACAATGTTATTGCCATGGTTTTGTCTCAACCAGAATGAAATGTGGACACCTTTTAAATGGCTTTTGAAAATTTATCCTCAATTATATTTCTTCTAACACCAAGAAAGAAATGTTTTCTTTGGCTAATTATAGTTAAACAGTTCCAGCCAATCCGTAATAGACTCTGGTAGGCGTGTAATGATCACATCAGCAGAGTTTACAGATACTGTCCCATTCAAGTTGGTTTGCACACATCTGTTAAAGGTAAGCTCAAAAGTAAGTGCAGAATATATGATGACACTTGATGTTTATCTTTAGATGGAAGTACACAAATCCCTTTATTCTGGCCTGGCAAAACACACCAAGGACTAATTATTCCCAATGGACTTGCACATGTGTGTTGAGACATAAAGAAACAATGTGATGCAGATGTCCGAAGTGCAATGCAGCAGGGTGACTACCTATCACTATCCAAATCAAACAGAAGCTGAGCCACTATGCAGGGAAATGAAGAAAAAGTAAATACATTTGTAGGGAAATTTCAAGAAGGAAAAAAAAAATATAACGACTGAATTATCACTCCTCATTAGGCTTTGTTCTTGTAACTGCTATGCATAATTATACTGTATAATGACTAAAGACCAAAGGAAGAAACTGATCTCTGTTTTGCTAACCTGAAAAATTACTCAAATTGTGCATGCATAGATATTTGGTTAGTTCGCATAGGGGTAAAAATCAAGTTAAATGTTGCCGTAGCTACACAACGGCTGTGCCACATGGAGAAATAACGATCTTGGGTTAATCACCTCGGTGTGAAAATGGAGTTGTGCAGGAAGTTTTCAAAGACTTTTCGGTAAGAGGCGTCAGCAGCTTCAGCCTCCAGGTCTTCCACTGATTTGGGGCAGGGACAACAGCCTTTACCTGCCCCATCTGGATTTAGTTTAGTCGGCTTTGTCTCCTCTTCCTGGTCTCCCACCCCTATGGCAGCGATCCTAATGGGAATCTTCAACTCTGCAGGAGAAAGAAAGATTTGTAGTCCGTTTGTGACTTAATTATTAGCAGCAGTGGTGGCAATGGAAGTTTATGCTTGTGTGTGTGTACCTTTGGAGCAATAATTGTGCTGATAGAGCTCTCGGTCTTCCGCTTGCTGCTGCCATCTTACCAAGTAGTATGTCTGGTTGCCATTCGCTGAGACAGGGGGCGACCAGCGTACCACCAGTTGAGTGGATGAGTTGGAGTACGCTCGCACATCCTGAGGCATGGAGGGTGCTGAGAAGCACAGAGACATAAACTGATTTCTAACAACTTTTGAGTAAACTCTTTTCTCCTTCAGGCTGCCAGTGCAGATGTGATCGTCTGACATCACAGTGCTGCTATGTCTTTACACTGCAGCTGGACTTATTTAAAGCAGCCTTCCATTTCATCTAATTACTGCAGTATATTACAGTTTGTTTAAATCAGATTTTCTCCATCTCTTTGACTTGCAGCTGTGTTTATTTCAAACAGTCTTCCTCTCCATCTCCTTTCAGTATGTTTGGATAAAATCCAGAAATGCTTTAATTCTGACAGAGAAATAATCCACTTCTATTTGCAAAACAAGTAGCAACTAAGCATATGCTGTACGGTGGTTTTAAGGTACACCAAATCATTTAGTATAAAAATATACTCCAAGGATATGATTTTCAGTAACATTACAGTTGTTTGCTACTTTTGTTAAATTAATAAGGAAATAAAGCAGTTGCTAATTCAAACCACCAGAGGTCAGTGACAGTATGGCAGCAGCCAAACAGTAAGGCCAGAAAGCCAGCTGAAAACAATGCTATGCATTGGTGGGGATACAGTAATGCCCCTTTGGGATTGTTTAGACCGAACGATAGAGGGGAGTCGAACAACACATACAAAGCTACAATGCAGTGGTGGTGAAAACATGGCCACAGCAGGATACCTGCAATTCTGCAACTAAAGATATGGACAAGGTAAATATGTTTTTTTGGGTTTTTTGACTGATTAGTTTACGATTAACTTTGGCACTAAAACCAAATGATGAATCTTTATTTTTGGGTTGGGTTAAACGGCACCAGTTGTAGTTTGCACGGTTGCCTCATGGCAAGAAGCTTCCTGGTTAGATTGTACTGTTTGCTTGTGTTCCCTGTGCGCATGTTGGTTCTCCCTACATATTCTGGTTTCCTCCCACAGTCCAAAGACGTGCGTGTTAGATTAATCGGCGATTCTAAATTGATCGTAGGCATGAATGGTTGTGTGTCACTCTGTGCTGGCCTTAGGATGGACTGGTGACCTGTCCAGGGTGTATACTGCCCTGGACAGATGGTTTTGAAATAGATAACACACTGAAGAATAAAGCAGTATATGAACGTGTGGGTGAAAATGGGGTTTGCAGTGTCTAGCACTGAGAAGTCAGTAACACCAGAAAAGTGCTACATAAATGTCATTTTATTTAAATCTCCTTCCCATTTCAGCTGCTTATGTTGAATGAAAACAAAGGCATTACTTGGGGATATTTAGTGTCGGCTTAGTCAAACAACAATTTTGCTCTTTAACTCCCTGGTTATTCTAACGAACAAAAAAGTACTTTCTCCACTTTCAGAGAGAAGAAAGTACAAACTGTAAGAGACTGTAACATTTGATCTGTGCTGTTGTGGTGTTTACCTGAGGGGCTCGTGCGGATGTAGACCACCTTGCTCTTGGCTCCTGGCATGTGTCTATCCTCCACTGTGAGTGTGATAGCTTTAACAAAGATCGCATACTGTGTCCACGGCTTCAGGTTGGACAGAAGAACTCCAGGATCTGACTCTTTGTCAGGCCTCAGCTCCACATCCACCATATTCCAGCTGTTGGAGCCACAGCCATCCTGTCCCTCAAACTCTGTGATGTTCTGGTAGGGTCTGGAAGAAAAGGGCGAATTATTAATTTATTACTGTACACCTATTTAATTCACGTGTTCTTTATTACACAACTGAAGAATGTCAGCAAAACACAAAAATCTCATCTTCCTCAAAATAATAGTTAACACAGACAGAAAGACCACATTTCCATCGTGTTTTTTTACTTTGCTGTATTTGTTTGTTGCCTGGCTCACCATTTTTAATACATCATGTCTTTGCATCAGTTTTTCCCCTCATTCTTCTGCAACGATTTAACACTTAAATGTCCACTTAAAGTCAGCTCCTAATATTCGCCCAATAGTTGTGGCTGGAAAACCATTAAGTGAGATTTCCTATTGCTGATTCTCTGGACATTTGTGAAACTACGTACCAAGCTAATATAAAACTTGATTAAAGTAAAATTTCCTGTATTTAAAGTCCTGTTAACAGGACTTTAAATACAGTTAACTGTTAACAGGACTTTAAATACAGCTCAGTAACACTCAGCCTGCAGATAAACAAAATAAACAAAAAACATACGCTTCCTTGTAGTAGACAATGAAGCTGATGAGGTCTCTGTAGTCAGGGGGCCGGTAGCGCTGCCATGTCAGCTTGATCCTTGTGCTACTGGTGCTGTTAGACTTAAATTTCAGAATAGTGCTTTCACCTATGGAGGGAGCAAGGAGGGGGAAAAAAGCGCTTCAGTATGTGTGCATTAATATGCAGCAATTAGTGTTGACAGAGTGGCACAGTAAATACTGACATAAGAAGCAGAACAGCATCACGCTCAAAAGAGGTGTTTGCAAACTTCTAGTAAACTAGAGTAACTTCAGCACATGAACTGGACATAGCAATTTAAATGTTTGTGGTTTTCAAACTGAAGCTCATTTTGACCCTTACAGCTGGCTCTGTCGCCGTTGTTTCGGAAATCACTCTCATCAAAGCGGGCCTGGATGCCGGTTTTGTTCCACATTTTGCGGATCTCGGACATGCACAGCTTAGGGTTGGCTCTGAAGAACAGCTTTCCTGTTTTGATGGTCAGATTGTGCTGCTTCCAGTCCCAAAGATACTGTAACTGTTGGTTGTCGAATGCAGAGAAGGCATACATGCTAGAGGGCAGAAAGAGGAGGAGATGAATGGATTACAGTCATCAATATGCTGCTTCGTTCTACATTCATTCGTGTATGTTTATCTATGAGTGTATTGTGTGTATAGTGATTCATGCTAGGCTGAGAGCCAACTTTCCCACCAAGGTTAAGGCCTTATTTTCAGCACGTAATGGAAAACTACACAACATATCCACTAGTGACTTGTCTATTAGGGGAAGCTATGCTAATTGAACAAAATGTAGCTATTTTACTCTTCTCGGTAGATCTCTCTTCTAGCTGGAGGTTTAATGACCCAGTTAGACAGCAGAGGGACTGCTTGACAGCAGGATAAAAATCACCTGGCAAATCCGATTAACCAGGGGCTGACATTTTTTTGTGTGCTGGAGAGGAGGTTTTTTTTATGATTCTCTGGGTAACACCCAGACATCAAGGAATGACTGTAATGTGGGCCTTGGGACAGTAAGATTCCTGTGAACACAAACAGATGGAGGAGGGAAACGAAGGCCTCTCAATGACCCTGAGAGAACCTTTCCTGGGACTGTTGGAGGTTATACCTCATTCACAAACAAATAACAAACAACTGCACTTGTTCAAGTTTTGTTTAACTTTTTTCACTAACGATTGAACATCTTGAGGATGTTGGATCACATCATTCTTATATATTAGCTGAAAATGTAGTTATTCAAGAGTTGTGTTTGTTGAGCACTAATTTTTTGTGGTTCCTAGAGTTTTCAAAAGTAAAATGAGAGAGAGAGAACCACTTTTACCTTTACCTAACACTATAAAGCACCTTGAAGCAATGTTTACTGTGAAGTGGCACTAAACTAATAAAACAGAATTGAATAAATGAATAGAACTAATTAATATTCAGGTGAATCCTTGAGAAAAGTACATGAGAAGAAATGAGCTCAGCGTGTCCCAATGCACAAACATCCGTCTCCACTGTAAGGCATTGAGATTAAAACCTTGGCTGTATGTTTATCCACGTAGAGAAGTGTGTGTGTTCTTACTCTTCATGGAGGTTTTCTCCATCGATGTATCTCAGGCTCCGAAGGAATGCAAGCGAGCTCAGTGTGTGCGAGTGTATGATCCGTACGTAACCGGTCACCCTTTGGATCAGACCTGTGAAACTTTCCAGCTCTGCCACCATGTTATCTAAACACACAGACCGTCACAAACACATTCATTTATCTATTGATGCATTTTACCGTCTTGATGCATTCTCAATCATCCAGGAAAATAAATCTCCAAAAGTTGATTCTGTTCATTTTACCCTTTAGTATTTCATTGCTGGCTTAAAGGGGACTTATTATCATTTTACGCATTTCCTGTCATATATATGCTGTTACAATGATGGATGCTAATTTTTAAACATGGCTAAAATTTCAGCATGTGTACAAGCAATCACCATGAGTGAAAACTCACACTAAAATGGGCTAAATGCTCCATTTCAGACGGTTGACTCTATTCTGTGTGAAAGTAAGCAGATATATGTAATATGTTTATCTTAGGCACATGGCCAGGACTTATTCCTGGAACAAAATGGACCTTCAGACATATGACTAAACAAGTGTTTCATCCAAAACATCTGTAGAACCTAATTAACAGAGGTATCAACATTTTCCTGTCATTTCTGGCCATATGATAATCATAAATGCGTTAAGCTTGAGAACATTAAGTCCCGCTTACAAAAAACAAACCTGGTTATTTTTCTTTGTTTAAAGTTTAAAACTGCTTTGGAGTGTGCCAGCACTTTTCATATGGGTTAAACCAGGGGTGTCAAACTCAAATACACAGTGGGCCAAAATTCAAAACTGGAACAAAGTCACGGGCTAACATTAATATTTATTGGGAAAAAAAATCTTCCTCTAGATATAAGAATGAATCTTTTCTTATGGACTCAAACAAGTTTTGCTGAAAAACTGAATATGGAACAAGCAAAGCTTAATACTAAACAATATATATATTAGCTGTATAATACCAGCAGGCCAGCTCTAATAGTAATTTGGTATGGCTTTGCGGGCCAAATTTGGCCCGCGGGCCAGAGTTTGACACCTATGGGTTAAACCCTGAGAGCTCTGGCTGTGAGCACAAAAGCTCCACCCACCTACTATTTACAAACCTTCTATTTATGAAGGGAAGCCAATAAGAGCAAAGGTAGCTTAAAGGTAGAGACAGGGGAACTGAACCAGGTTGTTTCAGTCAGTAGATTAAATCACAGGCTGCACAAAGGCCCAAGAGGAGATAAATAAGGATTATTTTGAACTGGAAATTACCTTGTTACTGTAAAATAATGTTATTATAGAACCATTTTTAAACTGTTGTAATCCATGAGGATAGCTTTCCTGAATGCACAATAAAATATATTCAAATTGTTGAGTTCTCATGTGACTTTCTCAAGTAGCAAAATCTGTGATAACTTCTTTTTACGTCTGATTTAACGGTGTGAATATAACAGATCTTTATAATGTTCTACACCAGCTGAGAAACTCCTCAGGCCTCCCTCACAAAGAAATGCGAGTATTAACAGTCGTATTGCTGTGTTACACCGCAGTACTTACGGCCTCTGCGGATGTTGATTTGCAGGTTGCCTTTGATAACAGTGCAGCCTTTGAGAGACTGAGCAGCAGTCATGGAGTCGATGACCTTCCCATCACATACTTTATCACACAGACCATCACAAGCTGTGCAAAACATACTGGAGACAGGCAGAGAGAAAGGCAGGAGACAGTGAATGTACAGCGTCGTTCCTGACAGACATCTATTTGCCAAATTGGTTTGGTGTTTTTTTTTTTTTTTCTTTTTTAAAATTTCTGTCCCTGAAAGATTTGACGTCAACATTTCACAGAAGCAGCCAAAGCATGTCTAGGTGAAATTCCTCGGCATGCTTAACGGCCTTCACTATTTTGAAGGCCATACAGAGACTATGATGGCTGGCTGTCTCTAAGCTAACAGTAAGAATTGAACTAAATTCAATATTAGCAAAGCAACAATAAGGAGGGTGTTAAACCAGGGTAAATTCAGGTTGAACAGCAGCTCACCTGTTTGGTGCAGCGCGTGTGTACCCAGATGGACATTCAGGCATGCACTCTCCTCCATGGATAACGTATCTGTCAAGGTCGGTAAATTGGGCTTTGGAGCAAAGCTCGGCGCTGATGCAGCTCCAGCCCTCGAACTTGTAGGTGCCTGGGGGGCAGTCAGCCATGCAGCGGCCTTGGTAATAGTAATGCACACATGCAGTACATGCTGTGTCACTATCGGGGACTGTGCAGCTGCCCAGACACTGAGGGTGGCAGCACTCGCCGTCTGCTGTGCATGCTCGCAGTGCACACATCTCTGGGCACCCCACTGTGGAGACAGAAAGAAAGGGGTTATTTTAGTCAGACAATTTTCCCCAGAAAATAATAAAAAAAAACAATAAAAAAACAAAACAAAACATCAGAACATGACATTAATTTTTAGGTACATGGCCTGTAGTTAAAAATTGATTTTCTGCTTTTTTCAGTGTTTCTCATATACCTATACCACACAAACTCAAATACATGATGGCAGTGCTGCTGTGCTATCCCATCATCTTGCTCAAAGACACTCTGGCCTATGGAGAGGCTGAGGTTCCAACAGCAAACCCTGAGTTGAGTTGATAACATGTTCTATTACTCGAGCCCCAGTGGTCATTTAGTAAAGATGACTGCAGATTTAACTGTTCCCTTAAACGTTTCCTATGTGAATGTTTTGCACAGATGATGCACATGTAGGTTTGCTGCAGCAGGAAAGATAATCTCACCCTGAAGGCAGACCAAAAAGTTTTCAAATTTCCAGGTTGTAGCACAATCGTAGAGTGCCATGTGCCATTATTATTTACCTGGCACACTTAAAGAACAACGTAAATCTTTTAATCAACATGAAACTAAAAAGCAAACATAAACTTCTTAACAAACAATTGTGAAGAAGAAGAAAAGTAAAAAGCATTAAAACCTCAGCCTGGTTTAAAAGCAAAAAAAATAAACACTGTGTTTTAAATGACTTTTAAAATAACTCCAGATGTGAAGGGGGAGTGTGTACCACCATTTAGGAGCAGCTACTGCAAAAGGCCAATATCCTCTATGTTTTAATTTGGACTTTTAAAAATATTTGTATTTAATATTCTACCGTCACACCATTCAAAATGTAATATTTTGCCCTTAATACCACTACAAACAAGTTAAAATTTGGAAGCAAACAACAACACTGATTTATTCCCACTGATGCAAATCCATATTTAACAACCAAACAGAGCTTGCAGTGAACCTAAAACCATAACACATAAATATAATCAGACAGCCTTCAGTGTGAACATGCCTCTGTTATGACACTACTGGCTTCAGTTCTGAACAAATGATTTGCATTTACCAGTGAATGACTGACAATGCATGCATGCACACCCGCCCAGATTAAAGCTTTTAAATACACCAAGAGCCACATATGAGGTACTCATGCAAGCTGCTTCATATCCAACCAACCACATTTGAATTTTTGTTTTCTTAGTCTTACTATTATAAAAGGCAACCCAACCATGGGGAGCCACAAGCCAGTGTACTCTTAATTCATGTCTCAATCTTGGAAAAATGGGGATTGTTGTGTGAGGAAGAGCATCTACTGTAAAATCTTTGCCAAATCAAACACACAGATTACAAAGAACAAGATTTCCATATCAAATAAGTTGGGATGACAGAGGAGGACGCTAAGGATAGGGTAAGATTGAGACAGACGATCCACTGTGGCGATCCTTTAAGGAGCAGCCAACGGAAGTAGTCGTGGTAGTAGTAGTATTCTTAAAATTACAGAATAATTATAATTATAGAATTCTAAAAAGGTGCTTCAGCTGTGCTTTCATCCCTGATCCACTCCGGATTTTCCAGCCAACAGCGCTACAAATAACTCATCCAGTTGCTGTGGTGTTCCTCTAAATAAGAGGATATTGTAACTGATGACAGGAAAAAGTGACTGAGGAGTTCCAGAAGAAAAACACCATATTGACATACATATAGAGAGCAGCCACATCTCGTCATGGCCTTTGTCTCTGCGGCGGGGGAATTTAAATGAAGCGTGATAGACAACAAAACACCAAGGCAGCTTATTTGACTAGCTGACACATACCTTTCACCATCACCATCATGCAGCTGAGCAGCAGCAGCCTTTAACCCACCTTTACTGTCGGCAGCTCACTGCTTCAACATGACAGTACTGAGACATAAGCTGATTGGCTCAAACTGACTCTAAACAGTAACGTGTCTGCCACAGAAACAAACACTAACTGCTATGGAAACACTATAAATCCCCGCTTGAAATTATTTGGTTGTGTGTCCTTTGAGGCATAAACAAAGGGACAGTGATTTCTGAAGCCAAAGAAACTGTAATTTTGATTGTGTCATCCACATAGGTTAGCCAGAGGCTGTTTAAACCAGCACCAAACAACACAAAGTTATAAGAAATGATGTGTTGTTTATAGAATGCTGAGCAATAAAACACTGGAACACGTTTCAACATGCTGCCTCCACCAACTCTGTCAAACAAACCAAAGACAACAGGCCAGAGCAGATGCGTATGGCTACTCCCCTTTATTTATATTTCAATGATTTATCCACAGAGACTTGTTATATTATATTGAGAGATCTGGACACACAGTATAAAGCATTACAAGACAGATCGTAGTGGATGATAGCACAGACTAAAACACAAAATGAAGATTGAACAGATGGTTTTAACCTGTTTATGTTTGTGCTTAAAGAACAAAGATTAGGAAGTTTGTGTTTGGTTCAGGGGTTAATGCTGCATTAATACAATTTCTGAACAACTCTAAGACACTAAAAAGCAGCAACTTACAAAAGCATACCCAAACTGCTGTATTTATTAACTGTTAATCTGCTTTTGATTTTCTTTAAGTATAAGTAGCAGAAAGAATAGCAAAGGTATTCGGGAAAGAGGAAATCAACCAGTACATGTTGGCTTTTCTGCTTTAATATGATTAAAAACAGAGTGCCATAGTAATTGACAAAATTGTTTATTTTTAGATGATCAACCAATCAATTCATTTGACCTTTGGTGCATTTCAATTTCACATTTGAAATGCACCAAAACTACATTTCAACTGTGAAATTACATTCACTTTGGCACTACCTATTGGTTTGTGAAGTCGTGTTTTAAAGCCTCAACACTAACAAACCTGGTACATAAGATGCCTTCATAAAGTGCATTACACACCATTGTTGTATGTCCACGTATTGCTATCCACCCCTTATAGTGACAGTTACAGTGATTCAGAAATGGTTGTCATGAGGGAGTTTAAGTCCATTTTAAAGGAACGAGAGAATAACTCTTTCAGTCAGTGTGACCGTTTTAATGTCAATCTTAATGATCAGCTGTTGTATATTTTTCACATATTTGTACTCGTTTGTATGGACCGTTTGTTTTTTGTTTTTGTTTTTAATTGTTATGTGTTGTTTGTGTTTTGATTTTTACTGCCATGATGCCAGAGATTTGAATCTCTGAGATTTTGCCTGGATAAATAGAGGATTAATAATAAAACATCCAAAAGTGTGGGGGGCGCTGAAAGACCGGCAGCTCTGCATATAGCAGGAGAGAGGAGGGAGACACTGGAGAATTTATTTACCACGTTCAGAAAGGAAGTACCTTATGCAAAGAGCACTGAATCTTAGATCACATTGTTTAAATGCAATGATAAAAGAGTCAGTCTTCCTTACATGAACATTTAAAACCGTATTAGATCAAGCTGTTTATTTGTATGTATAAAAGCAGTTAAGAGGCACAGTAGCCTCATATGATGTATTAGATAAAGAGTATTAGGTGTTTCTACAGTAAAGGTAGGAGTCGTTAAAGCAGATGGTCCGGCATATTTCATTTGACACAGATTTTACGCATGATGCTCTTCTTGACATAAATCTTCCATTTATCCAAGCTTGGGACGTTCACTAGTAGTACACTAGCTTGTAACCTCCTGAGGCTCGTTTCTCCTCCCAGAATCTAACCAGAGGTCCTTTGCTTGCAAAGCAAATGTATTAATCACTATACCAAGCATACACAACTATTCCATGGTGTTGGGGACCTGCAGATGATGACCAGGCTTTAAAAAGGTTTTGTTCCAGGGTGAAAACCTGCTTATTTTTATTAGAAAGTCGGACATTTTACCGTAATAGTCTATAGGGAGTGACTCACTTTTGGAGCCAGCTTTAAGTGGCCGCTGGAGGAACTGCAATTCTGCATTTGCTTAATTTTTTAGTTCCAGATGCTGCTGCTTGGTTTTTAGATTAGATTAGATGAAACTTTATTAATCCCTCAGGTGCGTTCCCCTGGGAAATTCAGTAATTTCCGTTCAGTTTCAACACGTTTAAATATGAATATCACATTTATTTTTGTTTACAGAATTAGAAATGCGAGACAGAAACAACCAAAAAAAACCCACAACAACACAGTGACCTACAACTTGCAAAAGCTGCCAACTATTTGTTGTTCAGTTTTGTGATTATGATTTTTACCCTTAACACTACTACCGTTTGTATATTTTGCAAACCCTGCATGACCAAATATTGAATACTGACACCATCTAATACAGAAACCTTCCAGTACACTTGCCTAGCAAATTCCTAATTATAATGTTAACTATAGGGCTATTCGATATAACGATATATATCGGATGACGATACAGAAACATCTATCGTTTCATTTTACGCTATCGTTTGTTTCGTGGTGTCGCAAAATCAACTGTTTACGGCAATATTTTTTCATCGTTTTGATGGTCACTGTATAATTTCCTGAAGTTCTCTCTTCCTCTTATATTTAATCTAACCACACTACAGACAGACAAGCTGTTGTTTTTATGCGTTGTCATTAGCAACAACGACGGTAAAACCATCGCGTGGCTCCGCCGTCCGCATGTTTATTTTCCACAAGAACCTTTCACAATAAAGCTGAAGATCCTGTTGAGACTTTTCAAAATAAACTGAATCACGTGAAATAGAATGCAGAGTGTTTACGCATGAGAAGCTAAAAAGAGCTGTCAGGTGTTAAAAAAAAAAAAAAGCTTAGAACAGGCTTTCCCCGCAGCACACCGTGTAATAAATACTCACAAAGAAAATTGAGGACGTTTCAACTTATGTAACACTCGACTCCAGGTACACGACGCCCAGCTGAAAACGCTTCACGCAAGTCAACTGGCCCGAGATTCACAGATTTAGCTGAAAATGTAAAATTTTTGTGATATATATCGTTATCGGGATGATAAATGTCTTATATCGGGATATGAGATTTTGGTCATATCGCACAGCCCTAATGTTAACTTCAAATCAAAAATC